AATCTCGTTCCCTTATTTATTTATTTATTTATTTATTTACTTTGCTTCTATACCGCTGTTCTCAGCCCGAAGACGACTCACAGCGGTTCACAACAATGAAGACAGCAGAAATTCAATGTATAATATAAAAACAGTTAACAGTCTAATCCCTTACACAATTAATAACAATAAACAGTCAACAATTACTACACTATCGTCTCATCATCAAAAATGATCCAGATTTGTCATCCATTATTCCGTTCAATGTTCATTAACCAATCATTGCACTAATTATTCAACAGCCAGGTCTTCACTTTCCTGCGGAATACCATTAGAGATGGTGCTAGTCTAATGTCCGTAGGAAGGGCGTTCCACAGCCGAGGAGCCACCACCGAGAAGGCCCTATCTCTCGTCCCCGCCAGCCGTGCTTGAGAAGCAGGCGGGATCAAGAGCAGGGCCTCCCCGGAAGATCTCAAAGTCCTGGTGGGTTCATAGGCTGAATTTTTATTTTATTTTTTTTGTCGTGTCAGGAGCAACTTGAGAAACTGCAAGTCACTTCTGGTGTGAGAGAATTGGCCGTCTGCAAGTACGTTGCCCAGGGGATGCCTGGATGATTTTTATGTTTTTATCATCCTTGTGGGAGGCTTCTCTCATGTCCCGCATGAGGAGCTGGAGCTGATAGAGGGAGCTCATCCGCCTCTCCCCGGATTCGACCCTGTGACCTGTTGGTCTTGGTCCTGCCGGCACAGGGGTTTAACCCACTGCGCCACCGGGGGCTCCTTTATGTGAACTATGAATCTCAGTAACTACAACTCCCAAATGACAGCATCAATCTCCCCTTTAATCCCACTAGAATTCAAATTTGGGCATATCAGGCATTTGTGCTGAATTTGGTCCAGTGAATGAAAATACATCCTGCATATCAGATACTTACATAACGATTCATAACCGCAGCAAAATTACAGTTGTGAAGTAGCAACAAAAATAATGTTATGGTTGGGGGTCACCACAACATGAGAACTGTATTAAGAGGTCACGGCATTAGGGAGGTTGAGAACCACTGATTTAGAACATCAAATTCCTGTAACACCAGCATGCAATTTTTTAAAAGGTTCTATGACCCTAATTTTTGCAAGTTTGCCATCATCAGAACCTTGACGCAGACAAAGCAAAATTACTTTAACTGGGGAGCTCATCTTCCCAAGGGAATGATTTTCATCTTGTTTGGGGTGAGATTACAGGTTCAGCAGCAACTTGATCTATCTTTATTACTGCTGTAATTACCAACTAGAAGAGGAGTTTAGCCCAGAAGCAGGATGATCAAAGAAAGCTCCCAAACTACTTTATTTCTACACATTAAAACCCAAGAAACCCTCCCCAATCCACAGATACCACCCCTTGAAAAAGAAAGGAATACTGAACATGAGGATATATTGCCTCAGAATTCTGAGGTTACATCATTAGAAGTACAGCTCTATGAAAAAATGAAATTATCACAGGCGATCACTGGTGACTGAATATGATTGTCTTCCAAAGACAATCACAAAAGACATGAAATGGTGCAGCTTTATCTATTTCATAGAATCAAAGAGTTGGAAGAGACCTCATGGGCCATCCAGTCCAACCCTCTACCAAGAAGCAGGACTATTGCATTCAAATCACCCCTGACAGATGGCCATCCAGCCTCTGTTTAAAAGCTTCCAAAGAAGGAGCCTCCACCACACTCCGGGGCAGAGAGTTCCACTGCTGAACGGCTCTCACAGTCAGGAAGTTCTTCCTCATGTTCAGATGGAATCTCCTTTCTTGTAGTTTGAAGCCATTGTTTCGCGTCCTAGTCTCCAGGGAAGCAGAAAACAAGCTTGCTCCCTCCTCCCTGTGGCTTCCTCTCACATATGTATACATGACTATCATATCTCCTCTCAGCCTTCTCTTCTTCAGGCTAAACATGCCCAGCTCCTTAAGCCGCTCCTCATAGGGCTTGTTCTCCAGACCCTTGATCGTTTTAGTCGCCCTCCTCTGGACACATTCCAGCTTGTCAATATCTCTCTTGAATTGTGGTGCCCAGAATTGGACACAATATTCCAGGTGTGGTCTAACCAAAGCAGAATAGAGGGGTAGCATGACTTCCCTAGATCTAGACACTATGCTCCTATTGATGCAGGCCAAATCCCATTGGCTTTTTTTGCCGCCACATCACATTGTTGGCTCATGTTTAACTTGTTGTCCACGAGGACTCCAAGATCTTTTTCACACGTACTTCTCTCGAGCCAGGCATTGTCCCCCATTCTGTATCTTTGCATTTCGTTTTTCCTGCCAAAGTGGAGTATCTTGCATTTGTCACTGTTGAACTTCATTTTGTTAGTTTTGGCCCATCTCTCTAGTCTGTCAAGATCATTTGGAATTCTGCTCCTGTCCTCTATTTTCTGCTCTTTGGTCTTATACCCCGCCATCATCTCCCCAAAGGGATTTGAGGCGGCTTACAAAGGGACAAGCATGAACATTACAAATAAAACAAGCACAATAAAATAAAATCAACAGCCGCAATCAAGTAAAACACATATCACATTTACTTAAGCGATCCCTCATTGTCCGAGTAGAAAAGTCTTCCAGGATCAGTGAATAGGTGACTGTGGAGCCCTATTCTTGATCTGCATCTTCTCCCACAGTGAGGGCATTGGTTTTCAGGTGGAAGGCGATCCCGGTTGGGGTTGGCTTGACGCACCTTCTTCTTGGCATGTTCTTTTTTCGCCCTCCATTCGTGCCTCTTCAAATTCTACACCACTGCTGATCACAGCTGATCTCCAGCTGCAGCACTAAAGGGCCAGGGCTTCCCAGTTCTCAGTGACTATGCTAGAGTTTTTAAGGTTGGCTTTGAGCCCATCTTTAAATCTCTTTTCCTGTCCACCAACATTATGTCTTCCGTCCTTTCTTTTTAAAAAAATAATGTTTATTGATATAGAGTAAAAATATAGTAACCAAGGAAAGAGGGGAAACATAGTGTTTTCAAGAAAAGTAGGAACATAGAGAAATAGAAATGTTTATCTAAAAAAAAGGAAAAATCTATTTCCTTTTTTATGCAAAGTTTGGTCCAAATCTATCATTGTTTGTGTCCACAGTGCTCTCTGGGTGTAGGTGAGCTACAACTCCAAAACTCAAGGCCAATGTCCACCAAACCCTTCCAGTATTTTCTGTTGGTCATGGGAGTTCTGTGTGCCAAGTTTAGTTCAATTCCATTGTTGGTGGGGTTCAGAATGCTCTTTGATTGTAGGTGAACTATAAATCCCAGGAACTACAACTCCCAAATGTCAAGGTCTATTTTCCCCAAACAACACCAGTGTTGACATTTGGGCATAGTGAGTATTCGTGCCAAGTTTGTTCCAGATCCATTATTGTTTGAGTCCACAGTGTTCTCTGGATGTAGATGAACTACAACTCCCAAACTCAAGGTAAGTGCCCAGCAAACCCTTCCAGTACTTTCTGTTGGTCATGGGACTTCTGTGTCCCAAGTTTGGTTCAATTCCATTGTTGGTGGTGTTCAGAATGCTCTTTGTAGGTGAACTATAAATCCTAGCAACTGCAACTCTCAAATGACAAAACCAATCCCCTCCATCAACCCCACCAGTATTCAAATTTGGGCGTATCAGGTATTTGTGCTAAATTCGGCCCAGTGAATGAAAATACATCCTGCATATCAGATAATTACATTCTGAATTGCAACAGTAGCAATATTACAAGTGTGAAGTAGCAACAAAAATAACGTTATGGTTGGGGGGGTCACCACAACATGAGGAACTGTATTAAGGGGTCACGGCATTCGGAAGGTTGAGAACCACTGGCCTAGAGGGAGGCCTCTGCTCCTCTGCAGCACTGCTGGTCACAGCTGACCTCCAGCGCTCCAGCTGGAGGTCAGCTGTGACCAGGAGTGCTGCAGAATTTGAAGAGGCACGAATGGAGGGTGAAAGAGGAAGGCGCGTCAAGCCAACCCTGACCGAGACCACCTCCCACCTGAAAACCAATGCCCTCACGGTGGGAGAAGATGCAGGTCAAGAATAGGGCTCCACAGCCACCTACGAATCCACCCCCAGGACACCGAACTTGGAGGACCATCATCCTCGGACTACGAGGGATCGCCTAAGTAAGTAAGTAAGGAAGCTCCTCTGCAGGGCAGGAGGGGGACCTCTGACTCTGGACATGAAAATACACAGTTCACTATTACCATGGTTTCATGTAGCCACGTGAAGTCCTGAAACATATTCCCTGTGTATAGGGAGGTAGAGACATCACACTGGCAACAAAGATCCGCCAAGTCAAAGTCATGGTATTCCCTGTAGTAACCTACGGATGTGAGAGCTGGACCTTAGGGAAGGCTGAGCGAAGGAAGAGATGCTTTTGAACTGTGGTGTTGGAGGAAAGTTCTGAGAGTGCCTTGGACTGCGAGAAGATCTAACCAGTCCATCCTCCAGGAAATAAAGCCCGACTGCTCACTGGAGGGAAGGACTAGAGACAAAGTTGAAGTACTTTGGCCACATCATGAGGAGACAGCAAAGCCTAGAGAAGACATTATACTGGGGAAAGTGGAAGGCAAAAGGAAGAGGGGCCGACCAAGGGCAAGATTGCTGGGATGGGATCCTTGAAGTGACTAGCTTGACCTTGAAGGAGCTGTGGGTGGTGACGGCCAACATTGAGCTCTGGCATGGGCTGGTCCATGAGGTCACAGAGTCAGAAGCAACTGAACAAATGAACAACAACAACAAAGGTTGGACTGTGATTCTAAATATTATCTTCTTTCAATCACTCTGCACTTAGATCTTAAGCCAGAACTCATTATATCTCTGTAATTAAAAAGTGAATCTAAACTGTTAACTGTATCATATTCTTTTAGTCACAGGTATCACCATTTCCTTGCCTCTCTTTCAGCAGATGGAAAGATGCAAAGGGATAGCAAAAATAACAAAACTATAATTTTTAAAGTAGTTGGTTACAATATTTTTTTAATTATCGATTTTAAAAACTGTACTCACCTCAAATCCAAAACTACATGTATCCTGAGATTTTTGCCCTTAGCTTTACTCTCAAAAATTGGGTGATCCTACAGATTTTGCAAGAAATTCCAGCATATCAGTGGGTTTTGCAGCCTGATCCATTGCGCAGATGAACACTGCCCCCATCGCCTTTTCTCTGCAGTGTGTACGGCTGCTCTCACAGACCATAATGCTCTGGACTTCCCCTTGTCTAAGAGCTGACGTAGACAACCAGAATATGTTAAAACATAGATTGCTGACTGCAGTGGATTTTTGCAACCACCAGATGTCGATATCAGTTTCGGTCTCTTTAAATGTAAAGCAAATGCAGTAAACACTCCTAGCAGTGATGATGAATCCTTTTTGCCTCCCAGATGTTGCTGTCAGCTTCAGGGCCCTTCCACATAGCAATACAACCCAGAATCAAATGGCAGAAAAATCCCACCATATCTTTATTTATCATATCAAAAGCAAACCGAGAGTACAATTGTAATGTATTTAGAAAGCACAAAGTTTAAAAACTTGGCATTGTGGTTTGTTGTAGGTTTTTTCGGGCTGTATGGCCATGTTCTGGAGGCATTCTCTCCTGATGTTTCGCCTGCATCTATGGCAAGCATGCTCAGAGGTAGTGAGGTCTGTTGGAACTAGGGAAAAAGGGTTTATATATCTGTGGAATGACCAGGGTGGGACAAAGGACTCTTGTCTGCTGGAGCTAGGTGTGAATGTTTCAACTGACCACCTTGATTAGCATATAGTGGCCTGACTGTGCCTGGAGCAAACTTTTGTTGAGAGGTGATTAGCTGTCCCTGATTGTTTCCTCTCTGTTGTTTTGCTGTTGCAATTTTAGAGTTTTTTTAATGCTGGTAGCCAGATTTTGTTCATTTTCATGGTTTCCTCCTTTCTGTTGAAATTGTCCACATGCTTGTGTATTTCAATGGCTTCTCTGTGTAGTCTGACATGGTGGTTGTTGGAGTGGTCCAGCATTTCTGTGTTCTCAAATAATATGTTGTGTCCAGGTTGGTTCATCAGGTGCTCTGCTATGGCTGACTTCTCTGGTTGAAGTAGTCTGCAGTGCCTTTCATGTTCTTGATTTGTGTTTGGGCAACTGCTGCTTTGGTGGTCCCTATGTAGACTTGTCCACAGCTGCATGGTACATAGGTACCTGCAGAGGTGAGAGGATCCCTCTTGTTCTTTGTTGAAAGTAGCATTTGTTGGATTTTCTTGGTGGGTCTGTAGATAGTTTTGTAGTTGTGTTTCCTCATCATCTTCCCTTGATGTCTGGCAAGAACTTTTCCTCTGGGTGGATCTTCGTCTTGACTCTTGTGGCTTGTTCTCGGTGGTCTTGCAGCTCTTCTGATGTCTGAGGTGGAGTCTCCATTGGCCTGGAGAGCCCAGTTGAGGTGGTTCAGTTCATCTTGGAGGAGGTGGGCTGTGCAGATTCTTTTTGCACGGTCTGCCAAGGCTTTAATGGTGCTTCTTTTTTGACTTGGGTGATGGTTGGAGTTTTTATGTAGATATCTATCTGTGTGTGTGGGTTTTCTGTAAACGACCTTCGACAATACTTGGCATTATACTAAATGTTCCGCTACCTTGGCAGCCACCTCTCCACAAAAGTCAACATTGACACTGAAATACAACACCGCCTGAGCTCTGCGAGTGCAGCATTTTTTCCAAATGAAGCAGAGAATATTTGAGGACCAGGACATACATAGGGATACCAAGGTGCTTGTTTATAAAGCTATTGTCCTCCAAGCCTTGTTATATGCCTGCGAAGTGTGGACTATCTACAGATGTCACATGCAACTCCTGGAACGATACCTTTAGTGCTGCCTCCGAAAATCCTGCAAATCTCTTGAGAAGACAAATGGACAAATGTCAGTGTGCTGGAAGAAACAAATACCACCAGCATTGAAGCGATGGACCTCCACCATCAACTCCGCTGCACTGGCCACATTGTCCGGATGCCCCACCACCATCTTCCAAAGCAATTGCTCTACTCCAAACTCAAGAATGGAAAACGGAATGTTGAAGGACAGGAAAAGAGATTTAAAGATGGGCTCAAAGCCAACCTCTAAAACTCTGGCATAGACACTGAGAACTGGGAAGCCCTGGCCCTTGAGCGCTCCAGCTGGAGGTCAGCTGTGACCAGCAGTGCTGTAGAATTTGAAGAGGCATGAATGGAGGGCAAAAAAGAGAAACATGCCAAGAGGAAGGCACATCAAGCCAACCCCGACCGGGACCGCCTTCCACCTGGAAATCGATGCTCTCACTGCAGGAGAACATGCAGATCAAGAATAGGGCTCCATAGTCACCTACACCTCCAAGGTCACGTGGCCAGCATGACTGCATGGAGCACCATTACCTTCCTGCTGGAACAGTACCTATTGATCTACTCACATTTGCATGTTTTCAAACTGCTAGGTTGGTAGAAGCTGAGCCTAACAGCGGGAGTTCATGCTGCTCCCTGGATTCAAACCTGTAACCTTTTGGTCAGCAAGTTCAGCAGCTCAACGGTTTAACTCACTGCGCCACCAAGAGCTCCTACACTACTATATAAAATCCAGATTATCTGCTTTGAATTGAATTATCTAGCAGCATAGACTCATATGATCCAGTTCAAAGCAGATAATGTGGCTTATCTGCTTTATCTGGATTATATGGCAGTGTAGATCCAGCCATTATCATATAGAACCACTATTTGACATTCGGAGATCAGGGATAGCAACAGCCTACCGTGATCATCCCTGCCATTACACTTCCCTGTAATAACAAGATACCTTACCATGGGGTGGTTGCAGACTGGTAATAGGTTGCTCGTGTAATAGCAACCACCACACTTCAATGTTAGTTTACCACCTTCATATCATGAAGTCCTCACTTGTTGTTATAGGGAACCTTCAAGTTGCTTCCATCTTATGAAAACCCTAGAAAGGAACTGTCGTAACCAATTATGAGTATTCTAAACCCAAATGTATGAAATTCATCAGGTCACAGGTGACTTGATGACAAGTGTGGAAAATGAACCCATCTAAGGATTTTCCCAGCAATATTTGTTCAGAGGAAGGTTGCTATTGGATTCCTTTGAGGCTGAGAGAATGCAAATGTGCAATGGTCACCCTGTGGGTTTCCATGGCCAAGTGGGAATTTAAAGCCTGGACCACATACTGTAACTGCTACACTATCATAACTCTATATTGTGTCCAATTCTGAGTACCACAATTGAAGAGATATTGACAAGCTGGAATGTGTCAAGGGTCTGGAGAACAAGCCCTATGAGGAGCGACTTAAAGAGCTGGACATGTTTAGTCTGAAGAAGAGAAGGCTGAGAGGAGACATGATGATAGCCATGTATAAATATGTGAGAGGAAGTCATAGGGAGGAGGGAGCAAGCTTGTTTTCTGCTGCCTTGGAGACTAGGATGCAGAACAATGGCTTCAAACTACAAGAAAGGAGATTCCATCTGAACATGAGGAAGAACTTCCTGACTGTGAGAGCTGTTCAGCAGTTGAACTCTCTGCCCTGGGGTGTGGTGGAGACTCCTTCTTTGGAAGCTTTTAAACAGGAGCTGGATGGCAATCTGTCGGGAGTGCTTTGAATGTGATTTTCCTGCTTCTTGGCAGAATATGGTTGGACTGGATGGCCCACGAGGTCTCTTCCAACTCTATGATTCTATGATTCTAGTCTAAATTAGAATAAACCTAGTGAAGCAATGGGTTTATTCTAATTGTGCTCATCTTTGAATACTACATCTGAATTCTTAGTTCCTTCTTTTATTTATTATTATTTATTTAAAGCATTTATATTCCGCCCTTCTCACCCCAAAGGGGACTGAGGGCAGAGCATTGAATGGCAAACATTCAGTGCCAAAACATACTAAACTTTTCCAACTGTGTGAATGTTTCTGAGTATAAATCAAACTCAAAAGGGAAGGAGACAGGTGACACCTCTTGTCTGGTTCCCTCTACAAAGTTAGTATGGGAGAGGAAAGAACTATGAATAATGGATCAGAAAGAGAAACACACATGAAGGGAAAGGGCAAGAGGTTTGCGAAGGCAGTAAATGCTGATGCAAGATCTTAACTGCCAAGCGGTGGTAATGAACTGTACTGAGAAAGTATTTCAGATTTAAAATTCGTTGATTTAATTAACCACTGTTGTAACACATGGTGATCATGTAGTGGCCACAATGTGTAGGCTGCGTAGGAGATAGAAGTGGAAGCAGAGTGACTGTTGACACTGCAGAGTTTGCCCAATCTGGGATAGAGGCAAGTGGGCGATAATGTCTTTCCCAACTTTCCAACCCTTCAATAAAATGTATCTTTCATTATAACCTTCTGCCTAATTTGAATCCTTTAAACCCTATGCTCTTCGTATATATGTATCTAATGCATCATATATATATATATATATATATATATATATATATATATATATATATTTTGTTGTTCATTCGTTCAGTCATCTCCGACTCTTCGTGACCTCATGGACCAGCCCACACCAGAGCTCCCTGTCGGCCGTCACCACCCCCAGCTCCTTCAAGGTCAGTCCAGTCACTTCAAGGATGCCATCCATCCATCTTGCCCTTGGTCGGCCCCTCTTCCTTTTACCTTCCACTTTCCCCAGCATAATTGTCTTCTCTAAGCTTTGCTGTCTCCTCATGATGTGGCCAAAGTGCTTCAACTTTGTCTCTAGTATCCTTCCCTCCAGTGAGCAGTCGGGCTTTATTTCCTGGAGGATGGACTGGTTGGATCTTCTCGCAGTCCAAGGCACTCTCAGAACTTTCCTCCAACACCACAGCTCAAAAGCGAGTGCTATAGAGATAGATAGCATAGGTATAGCTCTCACATCCGTATGTTACTAGACAATCTTGATATATATATATATATATATATATATATATATATATATATATATATATATGATTTATTGCTTATTTCACAACATTGTCTGAGCTCTGCGAATGCATGCAGCATTTTTCCGAATGAAGCAGAGAATGTTTGAGGGCCAGGACATTTGTAGCCCTACTATATGCCTGTGAAATGTGGACTATCTACAGACGTCATATGCAACTCCTAGAACGATTCATAGAATCATAGAATCATAGAATCAAAGAGTTGGAAGAGACCTCATGGGCCATCCAGTCCAACCCCCTGCCAAGAAGCAGGAATCTTGCATTCAAAGCACCCCTGACAGATGGCC